TGTTAGGTGACTTCTTTCCTACGAATTTTTTTTGTAGCTCCTTGTTGTAATTAACTTAGACTGCATTTCTATGTTGTATATTACAGTTACCTTATGTGTAACAGATTGGTTTTCTCAGCACAAAACAGCAGTATTAATGTAAAGGCACCAATAATAAAAAGGTAAAAGTTTTTCAGCATGGTTTCATTTTTGTTTCTTCCTCTTTCAAGGTCATTACATTCTTCTAGAGAGCAGGTTAGGTGAAAAGGATAAAAAGTCTGGAGTGTGTGCACACAGGTATCTTTGTGTTGGTCTGTACCTGTGTTATGAAATCCATAGCACATAATATGTGCTTACAATTAATAGTTTGTCGGTGTCAAATAGAAATTCCTTCTCTTGAAAAAAAAAAAAAAAGGCACATTATTAAAGCATCACAAGTTCTCTTTTTGTTATTGAAATGTAATTTTCAAAAGTAAAAATGTCTAATTGCATCTCAATGAGATATTAGCAACAAGTTTTTGATCGCTGGTTCACTCACTTGGCACGACTTAATGCCATCATGCACACAACAGATTAGTAGCACATAAAAACAAAGAGATTTTAGATTAGGTTGGAAGAAAATCTGTCAGAAAATTAGCTGAGACTGTTTTATATCTCCAGCCAAAACAAAGCTGGTTCAGTCTGCCTGCATCAACAGTGCTGTGAAAGGTAATTGGAGCACTGCAGAGAAAGAGCAAAAAACAGTCAAAAAAGAGAAATCCAGGAGACATTTACACACGTCTCTGGGGTGACCTTTGCGTTCAAACCAAATGCTTCAAGACACACATACCACCTACTTAGACAATTGCAAAATACCTTGAAAGTCTGGCTTTTATAACTGCTACTCTTAAAGCTGCCCTCACTCTATTGAAACAAACTGAAATCCTCCCTTCTGAAGGGTCCAAAAAGTCATTAAGGAAACAAACACACCTTTGATTAATGTGTCTGAGCATATTTACCTAAGGGCTTGTTCCCGTTGATCTCATTCCAGCTGAGGTCAATAGCAAAATTCTCATTGACTTCAAAGGCAGCATCACCGAGGCTTGAAAGTCAGACACCAGAGATACACACTGTTGGATGTACATGTTCTCTGGAGCCCAATTCTCCTGCACTTGCAGAGGTTTTTACACATTTCTGTAAAGGTGCAAGTCCCTAGGGGTGAACTAGCACTGGAAGTAGCTGCTATTTGGAATGCAAAAATTAAAAGATGAAGGATCTTAAAATTCCTATTCATAGATAGACACCTGTATTTTCTGAATACCCACCGGCAAAGACCTTCTGATGTCAACACTTCTGTGACTGGCTACACAGGCTGCCATTTAAGCCTCTGCATCATGGAGCTGTCCTGTATAGAAATCCCCGTGACTGTCCCCAAAATATTGTCAGCCTGCATTGTATGCAGAGCTTTGCATTCAACTCTTTTCTCTCCACAACTTCTGGCATGCCTAATATTTCAGGTTTGTTTCCCACCTTAATGCAGGGCACAGAGTCAAGTTTTGACAGGTTGGGAGTCTTGCTTTCCAAATTAAGACCCTTTAAAGCATCTCAGGTTGGGCAGCTACATCCATTTGACTTTGGTGTGCTCTTTTGTGGATTAAGAGGCTGTTCACAGTGTGGCAAAAGGTTAGAGTATATGATCATAATGCTGACAGCCCATCTTTATGGAGCTCTTAAAAATGCCAGGACAATGAGAGTTTCTTCTCAATTTTTATGGAAAGCCACAATTAGGGTCAAAAGCACCTCATCTAACACTTATTGTTTACAATGACTAAGTAAATAGCTACATCTGAAATTGTCAACCCTTTCTCCCTTTGTACTCAGTGGAGGGAAGCAGGCATAATCCCCTGGCTTATCTCAGACTGCCACTTTAGGCAGGGATGAATCTCTTCAAATAAATGCTAGCACAGCTTGCTCAGATCACGGAGTTTGACCTGAAAATGAAGGCATTGTGTCAGGTGATTCCAACCCCAAAATCTAAATTGACCCCACTGAAGTTAATTTGTAGCAGGTGAGGTTTGTACTGTGCTGGAGTTTTCATTCGTTTCAATGGCACTATTGAGAAAATGACCCAATACCTGTGTCTGGACATGTAACGAATACTTAGTTGGGTTGAAAGCCACTTGCCTGTGGGTTTTTCATGCAAAAAAACTCCCAACAACTAAAACATGCAGCTCTGGAGATCCAGCCCCACAGAATGCGCCTGACATTCCTGTACTTTACTTGGTTTTGTCTTGAAAGCTTTTCACTACTTTCTGTTGGATGTCCAGGGATGCAGATTATCTGGTATTGCATGTTGATTCAAGTAATCCAGTTTCAAAAGACAGCAGATCAGAGAAGGAAAGTGTCAAAGTCTGGCAGAGGCTTTCTACACCGTACTTTTATGAAAACCTCTTGACAAAGGGAATTTTAAATATTTTTTTTCTTTGCCATTGTCTCATATAATTATTTTAGTTTCTCTGTTTAAAACAGTTTATAGGTTTTGTTCCCATTTTTGTGAAACTTGGGTTTAGAGTACAAACCTCTTCTGAGCTCTTTATTTCTCCCACCATGTGAAAAGATCTGAGCAATTCCTCACAGGGTGGAGGGAAGCCCCAAGTACTTCAGCTGTGAGCCTTGAAAGTCATCACACTGCTCTGAGCCCTGCACACTCGGGGGTGAAATGCTGAAAGCAGAGGGAATGCTGTGGATGAGAGCAAGGCTTAACCTTGCCTTACAGTGCTTTACTGGAGGCTGAAGAAAACCAGTTTTTTATTCAGAAGCTGTAAGTCAAGTACCTCAGCTCTCTAATACAAATCACGGGGACAGAAAGGTTTGTGAAAAACTGAGCACTTTGTATGTATTGGCAGAATAGAAAAATAAAACTCAAAAAAATCATTGCAGGTCAGTCTGAAGTGAACGAGGTTTGTGGGGTTTTGTCTCTGTTCTTAGGTTTGGATGTGTTGTTTTAGTGTGGGGTTTTGTGGTTTTTTTACAAGAAGTATTTGTTTTTTAAGTCTTTAATGAAGTTTGAAAACAAAACCAAAATGTACTCTAAAAAATCAAAACATTTTATTTTGTCTTCAAGTGATTGTTTTTCTTGAATTAAACATGACTAGTTTCAGTCATAGCCAAACCAATTTCAAAATGACTTGTCTTTTCAAATTTAAAAATCAAAACCTATTTAAAAAAAAATCATGTTGCACTTGAACAGAACAAATCCCAAAAATCAGCAAAAAAATGTCCAAAATATACTGACTCCACCCAGAAATTTTGACTCTGGTTAAAGAGGTTTACAATGCAACCCAAAATTAGAGTAAGGGAGACCAAAACAAACCCTTAACTCATCACTAAATGCAGTCTGATGTCCATGATGCCACTGCCTGTTCATTAGTGCTTAAGGCAGAAGCTGCTTATTCAGAGCCACCTCAAAGCTTCTCAGCAAGATAAACAGAAAAAACTGAGCATTGTGACTGCAAGAAGAAAGGGGTCAGGGCCAGGCTGGGTTGGTTTTGCACTAGGGAGGGGATGGGGTAGCAAATACACATCACACAGCTTTCTTTTGGCTTTTAGGTGCTGTTACAGGACCAACCTCACAGGACATGGTGAACCTTTGAGAATTCTTCCTGGTGAGATCCCCCTCTACAGATCCAGAGGACCAGCCAAAAGGCAGTGGCAGTTTGTGATCAACTGATCAACTCAATTCTTGTGTTTCCCTCGTTCCTGCTGCACCAATTCAGTGTGGGCACATCCAGCCAGGGATGTCACTGTACACTGTGGCACCAGGATAAGCCTGACCTTTTATTTCTGTTCCTGCCTCCTTACATGATTTACAAAGCAGAACAGTTCACAAGTCTTCAACAAGAAATAAAAACAAGGGGATTCAGTGGAAGAAGTACGCAAGGGGAAAGACTGACAGAACACCACGAAAGATAAGCAAGATAACACCACCAAAAATAACCCCGAGAGGGTTCTCTTGGGGCTGTCACTGAGAAGAGAAAGCTCTGGAGACAACTCATTGCAGCCTTCCAGTACCTAAAGGGGGTTCATAAATAGGCAATGTTTTACATGGGCAGCCAATAATAGCACAAGGGGGAATGGTTTTGAAGTAAAATTGGACATATTTAGATTAGATTTTAGGAAGAATACTTCAGTGTGAGGGTGGTGAGGGAGGGAGGTGAGTTTCCTGGAGAAGCTGTGGATGCCTCATCCCTGGAAGTGTTCAAGGCCAGGCTGGATGGGACTTTAAGCAACCTGGTCTCATAGAAGGTGTCCTAGCCCATAGCAGGGGAATTGGAACTAGAACATCTTTAAGGTTCCTTCCAACTCAAAACATTCTGTGATTCTATGATCATTCCTAGAATGTTACATTATCTGCAATAGCTATATTAAGTTATGTTTCGTGATATGGACCAACAACCAGCAGCATTCCTTGTCAAGGAGAAAATGTCATCCCCATTATGTGTCAGCACCAATTGTAGCTGCTTCTACTCTTACACTGAAGCATTTATGTTGACCATTGCTGGACAAGAGTCAACAACCACTGGCTCCTAAATGGCAACACCTGCTGCTATCTGAATATAATTATCTTGATTTTATGCATACTACTGGCTCTGGTAGGACAAATACTGTAAACCTTCCCCTTAACTAACAAAGAATCCCTGAACCCATTTTTCAAGACCAAAAGACAAATCCTTTCTTTGAACAAAGATGACAGATCATTGAAGCTACTCAGTAACTTCCCACTGTGGCTCTAAGGCACTTAATTTTCCCCAAACCTTAATCAATCGTATTATATATTACAAATGTCAACAACATAATCAGAGCCAAGCTCGAATCCATTCTTTGCTCATTTCCCCCCTAGCAAGCACTGCCAAATCTGAGACAATAAAGTTCTGCTAATTTACCAATAATTTATACAGAGAAACCCCTAAAATGGGCTTAATCCTCAAAGAGATTCAGTTGTTTGACTCCAGATTTCAAAGAAAAGCATGCAAATGCAGCGATAAAATGCATTCCGTTTAATCAAGTGAACACTTAACAGACTGATTCACATTGTTTTATGGCATCAAATAACAGTTTCTGATGTGATTCCATGTGGGAGAAAAGGGGGAGGTTGCTGTAAGTATATTTTGGCAGAGTAGTAGAAGAGGTCACAAACAACTGATTTCTTAATGAAGTGTTAAAGGCTTCCAAAATTCATCTTTTAAGGGAAAATGGAAACTTCTCTCTACTACAGCTTTAACAGAAAGAAAGGAATAGCAGAAGTCAGATAAAATATGCCAGTTTATACCTGCTTAATGGTTGGGAAATGCAATTTTCTTATTTAAAGGTAAATAAAGTCTACAGTATCGGTTTGCATCCCATTATGTCAGCACTGCACCAGATACACTATTAGATTGCCTGGGAGAATGTTCCATATCATGACAAACCATTTGGAAGCAGAGCTGAGAAGAGTCATACAGCAAAGTCTGTCACAGCTGTCAAAAAAATCCAGTGTATTTTATTTGGAAAATAAAATGGAAAAAGAAGGAAACCAAACTAACCCTTTTTAAGTCAAATTAAATATAGTTCATAAAAATTAAGGCATTTTTTGCATTACAGGGATTTAGGTGCAGTGATGAAAAAAGAAGTGGTGTTCTGGAGAATGAATTGTAATTTTTGCTTATTAAACATATGGACAGAGAAGGGAAAAAATTAAAAAAGATGTAGACAGATGCAGTTTGATGGCAGTGAAAAGCTCTACCCATCACTGCAGATCCGCAATGTTCAGGAAAGGCTGCAGTGCCACCAAACATCTCAAGTCCAAAATTTCAAATATATTTTCACTTTATTTTATGAATGTCCATCAGATATATATCTTTGATGCTACAACACACTAGTTGAATAAAAATCAACAACATAAAACCCCTCATCATAAAAGATCCAAGAAGTGAAATCCCAAAGCCATAACCATTTACTCTGTGAGCATATCATCTTTGACAACCATATATAAATGACATCATGACAACAAATACAATGTACAATAAGTGTGCAATGGTACAAAATATACAAAAAGGAATGTGTATTTAATATACATTCAACAATACCCCATAAAAATCTTTTTTTGGGAAAGTGAAGTGCCTTCTCAAGACCAACAGAAAATGTACACCACTTCAGTTAGGATGCCTGAAGTATGTCCCATCAAAAGAGTAAAGCGTGTGTTCTTTGATGGGAACTATAAAATAACTGAGCTAATAAAAAAAAAAAAAATCTAAACTTCATAAAATTTTTGTCCACATCTATAGTATAATAAAATATTTAGAGTGCAGAAAATTCAGTTTAATTTAAATTTTACTTAAAAGTGGGCCCTCTTTTATTGATAGATCTAGCTCAGTCATATAAAATCAAAAATCTATATTCCTTATAGTAAAAAGACCATTTCTACCCATGTGTCTTTTCTGGTTTTGATGCATTCCACAATTCACACAAATTTGCTGTAATGGAAATATGAGTCTGACCAGAGGTCAATACAAGAATCATTCTTCATTTTCTCCTGTCTCTATACAAGTCTTGCATAATTTTACTCAAATATTTTTTTGCCTAAGTTTCAGATTCCTTTGAGTTCAACCTCAATGGGAATTTCAGGAAATTATTACTGTGGATATCATGGAGGTCACATGCTTATAATGTGGCTGATTTTATGAAAAAGTCCACCTAGCCTCCAGTTTTTGAGGCACCATTTTGTGCCCTTCTTCCAAAACTGGTACTTGCACTGACAGCAGAAAGAATTTACATGCTGGGCTGGGCAAGTACATGACCCGTACTCAGCTCTGCTGGGCATCCATCCTCCTCCTTCCATGGGTCCAGGAGTAAAGGTGGCTGAGTATTTCTACTAAGCCTCCCAACTGACAAAGCTGATCTCTGATTTCCAAAAGTAGCAACTCCTCCTGTACCTCCACAGTTCAGGATTTGTTGGTTCACAACCCGGGAAAGGTGACATATATGCAGCCCAAGGGAGGACACTGGATCTGCCAAAAGGCTTGTCTTGAAAGGACAAGCTTTCACAGAGAGGGACAAGTGCAATTTGCACTGTAGGTACCACTTTACTTCTCTTTACAGAGTTTGAACCTGCTACTGCCTGTAAACCTGTGGGCCCACACCTACAATTCATACAACAGCAGTTAATACATCTAAATTTAATAGCACTAGGTTTTACCCCAACCCTGATGGCCATAACTTAGGCGTCAGAACGGGTTCAACTTGCAGGTGCAACACCATTCCTCTTGTAATAAAGGTCAACACAGATCATCTAGATCTCCAAAGCAATAGATCAAAAGTATTTTCCAAAGTTCAAAACTCACCTGAGGCTCATTCTGAGTACCATTCCCAATTTTGATTTTGAGAGAGACTCATAATTATGCTAGTAAGCGACTAGCAGGAGGTTGCAGGCCTCTCTGAAAATCATTTCTTGGGAATATGCGTAGGAGGAGAGAGAGGAAATGAAAGGTACCTATAAATCATATGGCATGCCTGAGCAATGCCCAGGTGAATGCAAAAAATTCGTGTTATTTGCAGTATGTGTATCTCTTCCTGAGTTGAATTTCATTCCCAGTATGGAATCCAAGCGTCTGCATTCTTTTTTTGGCAAGATACTCGATCACATGGTAAGGCAATCCAATTTTCTGGTTTGCTTCCTCTCTTCTTTCTTGCTAAATGGCTAAGCATTTCTCACCAAGATCACCATTACAATGTGTGCCAGAATATGTTTAAAATATGGTCCTGTAAAAATAGAAATTAGGTTTGTTTCTCTGAAGGCAGCATTAATTCTTCATATATTCTGTGATCTTGAAGATTTCAGCTGAACAGATTCAAAATTATCTTCCTTTTCCTGCAATAGAAAAGATAGGCTCTTATCAACTGGCACTCCTCAAATTCTTACCATCAGTTACCACAGTCACTTCTCTCTATATCCTTTGCCAAAAACTTTATTTTTACCACAGTTATTAAGTGCATAGTTTGACCCTTTAATACTTAATAACACTTCCAATTCTGTAAAAAACTTGCAAACTTAATAAAATTATGCTACAGATATTGTTCATGTTACTTATTTTAGAGGGTACATGGAAAGTTTACATTTCATACTCATAGTTTAGGGCAGGTAGTCAGAGCTGGGGAATTGCAAGATAATCATCTTTATGGTTATTATCACTTAATGTGTTTCCTACAATTAATAAAATGTTTGGAGCAAAATCTGTGACTGTGAACATCACAGCCTTGTTCTTGGATTCCAACCTCAGCTCCTCCTCTGGGAGGACAAAAACAGTCTACAAATCCTCTGCTATCTTAAAAATCAGGGTTGAGTTTTCTTTCTGTTTTCATTTGCTGGGTGACAGCCTAGGCCATCCGGTCAGCAGACATCAGGGTGAGAAATGTGGACATACACATTACTGCACATGTGACCAACCCAAAGGTCCAGGCAGAAGCAATGAATGAAGGAGCTCTAATAAAAGTACTCACTAGAAGATGCTGGTTCTTGCTTCACGTGCCCACCTTTTATACATGTTCATGTACACAAATAGTTTGGAAACTATGCAGAGCTAACTTAATAGTCTGATTTTTAAAGCCATTTCAGTCAGATCAGGACAGCCTGGTGAAGAGGTGAGAAAGAAGGGGAGAAATTGTCCTGTGCTAGTCTACTGCAGAGTATGTGTTCTGAAGAACCTGGTATTGTTATGCTGGAGGCAGCAGATGGAACTAGAACAGCCTCCAATCTGAAACAGGTTTGTAGTTCTTTAGCTTCCATATTCTCATTAAAAATAAGACACCCCTTTCTATATTACAGGCCTAGTCTCAGATTCCTTGGGTACTCAAAACAACTCATATCTTCATAACATGCTGGCAGAAATCCTGAAGCACGAACATAGAATTAGGATATTGCAGATTTTTCTTATATCTCATTTTACATTTCTCCTTTTTTTCTCCCGTTTTCCTCCATATATTTTTTCCATATTTGATGTGCATATGTAGCAGGAGATGAATTTCCTCATCTTTTGCATAAATGAAAAATGATGCCTATAACATTTGTTTTCAATAAATTTATATTAAATTCATGTTATCTGCAGGCATACAGGACACAGAGTTCAGTAAGCTAATGAGGTACTGGAAGCTGGGTTTGCCAGCTATGATTATCTAGCAGTAAAAAAGGAACAAGCTTAGAAACATCTGACAGGCTTGTTTAAAAAGGAGAGGATACTCAGGGAAACTGCTACAATGGATATAGGAACATTAAGAAACTCCAAATAGGCATTCAAGTTGTCTGAGTACTGAAATAACCAAGCTTACTTTAAAAAGGAAAAAAACCCACTTCTCACAGAATCACAGAATGATTCTATGAAGGGACCTTAAAGATCATCTCATTCCAACCTCCCTGCCATGGGCAGGGAAACCTCCCACTAGAACAGGTTGCTCAAATCTGCATCCAGCCTGGCCTCGAACACTTCCAGGGATGAGGCCACGTCTTCTATGGGCCTTCCAGAGCTTCTCTTGGCAACGTGTGCCAGTGCCCCATCACCCTCATAGTGAAGAATTTCTTAATGTAATAATATCCAACAATATCTAATCTAAACCAGGAGTGAGCCAGTCACTGGTGTTGCAAATAGAGTTAGCAAAACTTTTGCACTTATCAGGAGTCCCACAAAACATGACCCTCACCAGCAGCACTGCTCACTATGCTCAGCCACAGCCAGCCAAGGCACTTCTTGGACAAAAAACCAACATCAGTATTTCAAAGTTAGTCCCTGTAGGATTCAAAATGGAATCAACTTTTATTTTTGCAACATCACCAGAAAATTTGATGTGATTTGATTTTATTTACATTTTCAATATTCTCGATATTGAATTAAGATTTAATATTGAATTTCTGGCCCTTGCCACAAGGAACAATATTGATTTTGCAAGACAAATAGCCAGGCTAGGGTCAAAGGGAAGTTCTGCATATTGTCTGTGCAATGGTAACTTCTCCTAGGAGGGATATCTGGGGAGAAGGTAGAGTGGGAAGTGGACATGAGTCCAATAAAAAAAGTAAAAAAATGAAGAGAATAAGGGAAAAGAAAGGTAGCACGCAAGTTTTAATTACATTGCACTCAACCACAGAAAGAAAAAAAAAGAATACAAGAAAAAAATCTAAAATTCAACATTCTGAAATATTATTTGGACAATAAAGAAGGGTGTGATGTTTTAATATTAATTTTTATGATGACCTTTTAGGAGAACCTTCCTATGAAGGTTCTTCCTTTTAAGAAACTTTCCTAAGAAACTCACCTCAGCAAAACTCTTTGAAAGGGAAAATTTCATTCACCTTCATCCTGATTATATCAGATGCCTCAGCTGGACTCCCTTAAAGACAACGCTACCCTACCTATAGCACAGAATTCAAGCCATTTGGAACAAACACCAAAGTGCTTATGGGACCTACCGTGATGGTCTGGTCTTGCTCTTCTCAGAAATGTTCAAAGGACACCAAAGATTTTTGTGCTATCAATTCAGGCATGCAACAATCCACATCACATGTGCAACAGAAAAAAAATGCTTTTTGGTGTTGCTTCCCACTGAACTGGAGGAAGTTGTTGTATTGGGCAACAGTCTGAGTCTGATGCCTCCTCCTCAGCTTAATCCTTCTAATGGTTCTTGAGTCAGCCATGAAGGAAACCCAGGTGAGCTGCAAGAGCTGGTGGTGGCTGTGTTCCCAGGGTTAATTTTTAATATCTTTAATAGCTGTGTTTGCCTCAGCAATGCAGGTGTCTGGCAGGACTCTGGGTAGAGAGGTTCTCTCAACCATTAACTGCTCTTTTCAGGTATCACCCATACAATAAAAAATGCTACTGAAATCTCTCTATGGAGGAAGGAGCATTTACTCAATACCCTGCAACATTTATTAACTTTATCCAGACTGTGGATCTCAGCAGATCACTATGGACTGGATGAAGTGTCTGTGGGAGGCTGCACTAATGTGCAAATTACCATCACAGACTCATCACATCCAGTAATAAATACATGTAAGAATTATTTTTAGTATTAATATTAGAAATTACTACTCACCTTTGTTGCCAAGGATTTGAGCTTGCCCAGCAGTGACTGCTTATTTGAATATACTATTTCTTCTTCATTATCTTCTCCTTCCATTATAGCACAGCTGTCAGCAGCTGGCAGTTCACACTCTTTTGAGTTCGTTGTCATCACTAATTTGGAATATTTATACTCCAACCTGAAGATATAAAGCCAGACAGGCATAGATTTTTTTACAAATGTCCCACACTCAAAGTTTTTGTAATTTAGGTTATCTACCAGTCCTCCCACATAGTAATTTCTGAGGTGTTTACTGGAAATCAGATCCTTTTCAATCACTAAAAATATGTAATAACCAAAATAGTATTAACAATTCATCAAGCTCTTGTTCTCCAGATTAGTCCTCCATCCTTATAAAAGAACCATGTTTCCCCAAAAGACCACAATTAGGTCAAGAGGGCTTCTTGCATGAAGAGGTGAGACCTGTGTGCTGGTTGGGGCAACAACTAAAGTAGAACTAAGCAATATATAGTCAATAACCTTATTTTAACCCACCTGAAAGGGGATAGTTAGGCTAAAGATATCCTTTTAGCCTTCAGACCTTGAAAAATCCACATTGCTTCAGAACCTAAGGTCAACTTCCAACTCTCAGGTGTTAAAAATACAGTTAATTCCTATTGGGAAATTATGTCATAAAAATTTACTGTGGATTTTCTACACTTTCCTCATCACTGTAGGCAGAAGAAACATCAACTTGATGTATAAACAAGGATATATAAACAAGGATATAAACCATGAATCAACACGGTACTTGTCACTGATGCTGTCATAAGGTCAGATCCAGGAAAAGTCTTTCTGTTCACTCCATCAAGCTTTCAGCTTACTTTTATATGGAACACAATTTGCAGTACTTACTTCTGGTTCTTCTTCCAAAAATAGCAAGTCAAGGCTATGAGCAGAACAGCTGTGAAAGCACCAACACCAGCTCCAACTTTAAGCCAAAAATCTACTGTTTCACAAGTGCTGGTCTTTTTTTCTGGCAAGGAAACTCCTTTAATGCAATGCTTTGGTTCATTCCATACATACAAGGTTTCCTTTCAAACAGAAAACAGAAAACACCAAAAAGTGGGATGCTTGTAGGAAAACAGAGGACTACTTAGAGTTGCAGAAAACAAGCTGTTCTGAAGTAGAAAGGTCAAATAATTTTTCACTGAAAGCAAACCAAAATAGGTACTTCAGGTTTTCAGACTGTAGGTAAAGTTTTATTGTCTAATCAGTCATCCCCCTACTTGTGCCTGAAGGTTCAGGCATGGCAAAAAGATTTCCTCTTCTGTAGGGCTCTTCATGTGACACAATATGGGTTAGACAGCTATTGGGAATCAGTTGTACCTGCATTGGAGCTGGTGATCAATAGGAGAGTTTGAAGCTGTAGAGGGACTTCCTAATATTTGACTAGAGAATGCAGCAGTAAAACTATTGCAAGCAAGGTAGGATGAATTTATAAACTGAAATTCACAACCCTCTCCTAGCCTGCCCCTGATGTTTATGGCTACCGAGAATTGGACTCATTTGGGCACTCCATCCTTCATAAATAACTTGCCTGCATCTATGAATCTGTAGAGAGTTCACATCCTTACTCTCACAGCTGGTCAGCACAAGCCAGGTCTACTCCAGGAACCACACTGCCTTTGGCACAAACATTCCTGAGTCTCAACACAGCACCCCAGTGTGGTTGCACCCAGGCAGCTCAGAGCCTGGACTCTGCCTGCGCTGACACACCAGTCTGCCCACCAAATTTCAACAAAAGTCTGAGTTATACCCAAACAAACCCATGTGGAGACACGGGTCCTGTACCTGAAATCCTTTTTTGCAGGCTCCCTCAATCTCGTGGTAGTCTTGCTCTGTGCAGAGAGGACAAGCTTCTGCACTTTCCCAAACAAAGTAGAAAGTGCATCCATCGCAGGTGCCCGCAGGGCATGAGCTGGGAGGAGAGCAAAGCTTAGTGATCAGTTATTAAACACTCTGGGGTTTGCATTCTCACTTCACATTCTGCTGCTGAAGACTGGGAATGGGAAGTACAGGAAATGGGTAAACATCCATCAAGTCAGCAGATGGAAAAATCTGGGGAAGAATTTTCCCCAGTTTGTAAAATGCTTTTCTCAAGCAGATGTTGAGCTGTCAAAGGTCTAAAATATCAGTTCAGTTCCTGGCAGGGAGTGGTACTCATGCACAGAGGAGGGAAGGGAAGGAGAGGGGAGGGGAGGAGATGAAGATGAGGAAGAGGAGCAGAACTACAGCAGTGTTTCACCAGCATGGGCTAGCCCAGCACACACCTCTATCGCTGTTCTCCTGCACTGGGTGATGTTCCACATGAATGCTGCTATCTGGTTCCTGATATTGTTCTAATGATGCCTGGGTGATTTAGTCCATATGGAATGGACTTGTCCTGTCATGGTTAATTACTAGAAGGGTGTTCTCAAGTTAATGAAGAGATAACAGCTTCCCTTAGTCTAAGGAAAACTAATGGCCTATTTTGTATTCAGCTTGCAGAAGGAAGTTGTATTGGCAATGGCAGGACATTCACATAGCTTTTGTTATTGACAATCACATCAGGTCTAACCGCAGCAATGGCCAAAAGTCTGTGCAAGAAGCTCAGTTATGTAAATATGAAATATATTCATACCAGAAATGCATTTAAAATTATTTTGTTCTATATCATTTGGAAACCTGTTATCCTGATCTGAAGCACTGAAAAATCTCCAGCCATAGCAGCCCATTCTGGTTTATCCTGGTTTGAATACCTGACAACTCTCCTCTCTGGACTATGGAACGTTTTTCAAACTACATGGCAAGAGCACTGACAGACCTTTCTCCTCAAGTGCTTTCATCTTATACTGTAGCTTCCTGTGATACTAAACACTGTGTCTGAAGGATCAAGGAGTTACCTGCTGTATTATTTGACATGTATCAGGTACCTCACTGTGTGAAAACTGCTGTCTGACTGCTGAGCTAATCAAAGGGGGATAGGAAGAGAGAAGTCAACACAAACTGAGATAAGGTACATATGTCAGCTGTGTGTCATTTCTGCCCAGTCTCATACTTTTAAAAGCAAGATAGATTGTTCTTCCCTCACTACTGGTGAGTTATCACAGCCCACATCATGCTTAACCTGTGACATTAGGAGAACAGCTGGAGGATTTTCACACAGCAGCTGATAGGCAGTGGCTTATTGCCCAGTGTAGTTTGTAGTGTGTCAGGTCCCTCAGAAACTGAGTAAGTATCTCCCAAGGTGTTCAAACATCAATCAATCATCCATCACCTGTGAAGTAGATGCTGCTTTGCCTTCATTCAGCTGAGCATGGTTCCTCTGTCCCAAGAGAGACAGGGATCAAAGGATCCCACACTTCTCACACTTAGGAAGAGGACTTAGCTTTTGGGAAGGGGGATGAGTGATAGGGCTAACAGCAGATTTATGGTAACATCCAGACACCCTAAGATGGCCCTTGACAACCCAAGAGGAGGGTCATCACAGTTGAGGGGAACTTCTGAAGAATCACAAGGTGTTGTTAAAGAGTAATAGAATTAATTCTTTTAAATTAAAAATTAATTTTTTTCTCTGTAACTTCTCAGTATGCTTTAAGTTATGTTTATACAGGCATAAACAGGACTTTGGAAGAAAGACACTTTTTGAAGTCACTTGAATCAGAGAGAAGGGAAAAGGTCAGGCAAATTAAACACAATTGGTACAAGGGGGTTAGGATGCAAACTGGAGTGATGAGACACATAAATAAATACATCTCAAACTTTAACTAGGCAGAGTTCAGGGCTCACATAAGCATTGCCACTACTGTAGATCAAGGAAGAAAAACTACCTCTCAAACCCCTGACCAGGCAGTTCTAATCAGGAGGCCAAAGATTAAAATAAGGAACTGAAATAAAGGAGAAGTGAAGACGAGAAAACATCACTAAATTTTCTTTTGCCTTTAAGCTCAGAACAACCTGCCTGAGCTCTAATGTCTCTCATCACACAGACTAAACACAAATGAGTTTGTCTGCTGGGAGGTGATGGACACCCAGGAAAAACAAGTGAGACCTCCTGCATGGCTGATAAGGGCGACAGCATTCCTCACTGCTGTTAAAATTACCAATGAGTTTTATAAAGATTACCTGAGTAGCAAAGGTTTTTTGGCACTACCAAGATACAAACACTCAAGTACCTGGGCACAGAGAGCTCTCCTTGGCCTGGTTTGTTGGGGTTGCATCTCATTGTCACAACAGTTGCACGGCCATTTTCACAGGAGGTTGTCACTGTTGAAGACCTAATGTCAAACAAGAGGAGAAAAGTAACAAGTTTCCCACAGTAAATATGTGTTGCTCTTTCGTGGGTCTCTGTCCGTTCATGCAGAGCCAATACTGATGAAATAACCCTTTACCACAGCACTTTTGACTTTGTCAGCTGAAAAAATAAAGGAGAAACAGAAGCAGGGTAGGTTTCACCACTTCATCTAAATCTCAAAGTGCTCTGAGATGCCACTCAGGGAACTGCTCTGGTTCTCTAGCTAGTTTGAAATCTGCTGAGTCAAGGAATAAACTTTCCCACAAAGGAGAATAGAACAACTGAAAAAAAGAATTACAGGTGCTGTGGTTGGTGTGTTACTCTGCTGGAGAGCTTATGATGGCTCACTCCTCACCTGCTAATCTGAGAGCCACACTGTCCTGAACTACCCCAAGGAAAAGTGGATTTAAAAGATGGACCTTATTCCAGTGTGATAGAACTTGTAAGCCAGGTTCATAATACCCTCAAAGTGGGGTCATTGGTGTGGAGTAGTTCAGTTTGCAGAATCATAAATGTAATTTCACACATGCATGAAGTGCCGATATCCAAAATCCTACAGTCAGTTAAGATCTGTCACTAAAGCCAGCACAATCCAGAGAGCCAATCAGCAGGACAAATAGAGGTAAGTGCCTTAAGCTGAACAGCCCCAGGGGCTCCAGAGTCCCAGCTTAGAAAACTAATTGCCATGAAGACACCAGCGTGTAAACATCTGGACTGAGATGATCTTCATCATCTTCTCCACTTCACTCTTCTCCATTCTTTTTGTGGAGAAGAGTGAAGAATAGGAAAAGCATAGTAGTAACTGTGCATGTTCAAACAATTACTGTTAAACTTGATTGGTTCTTTTTGGTAGCATCAAAGTAAATGCAAACGAAAGTGAAAGAAAATATGCAAAGGGAAGTGGACATATCAAAGTCATATATGAGAAAATACGGAAAGAAACAGGACACTGGAAGTGGCTTCTGGATGAATCAGAGCTCTGGTATCACTTCCTACAGATCAAGGGTAATTCAGATTTGAGTAAACAGTGTTTGCCGACTTTATAAGATGTTCTTCAACATGCCAATCAATATCAGCCAGATCCTGATTAAAGTGGTAAAGTTGAATTACAGATCCCCCCTTACAGTTTTAATTTCCTTTAAACAAATGAAGAAATTTGACATAGCAGTAAACAGTATTTTTTACCTACTTGTAAAAGAAATGCACATCTGGTATTTTGCTTGGAGAGGGAGGAAACATATCTGCCTTTATGCTGATATTTTCCAGCATTGTTTCAACTGTAGCTCCTAAAATTTAAGGGGAAAAAAAAGGAGCAAACTAAGAATGGATCTTTGATCAGTTAACATGTAATATTTTCTCAGTCTGAAAGGTATATATAGCTCACTTAATAGTAATTAATGCTATTACTATACATTACAAACTTTCTTTTATTCTAACTAAACCTTGCAGATTTATGTGTTCTTCATACAGTCTGATTTGCTCACATAGACATAGCAAAACAAAAAAATTAGTAAAACACCAGTGTAATTATTTTTAGTCTTTCATGTTGATTTACAGCAGTCATTGGATATTAAAGAATCATAAAATAATGTAGGCTGGCAAAGGACTGCTGAAGATATCTGATCCAGCCACACAAAGCATTTACCTTGAATGTATAACCCTCACACATCATAGCCATGTAATGACTGAGCAATCTGCAGTACTGTGTGAGATCCTGCAATGTTTCAGAAGAGGGAGTTGTACAAATGGGAATGCATCCTTCTAGGGAGGTGAAAAATTGCTACAACAACAAGAGAAAGCAGTAGAAGTCAGAAACTGGTGGAAGGATGGGTGTCATGGTTTTGCTGGTTCTTGGAAACTAGGCAGGAATTTTTCCCTTCCCCCTGCCCACTGTGTGCAGGACAGTCAAGTGGGCACTTAAGGAGCACAAAAGAAGCTGCCTGCTGGTTAATGGCTCAGAATCTCGTCCCTGGGAAACGGGGGGAGGAGTTTGGGCTTACTGCAGAGGCTGGAACAAGGTTGGTGTGGAAGCACAGTGGGGTTTAGTTCTCAGCCTGGTTGCCAGCTGTGGATCCTACTCGGATTTTTTTCATCAGAGAGGAACTGTTTGGGAGTTCAGGAGTTCTTTTGGTTTTTTTTTTCTTTTTCTCTTCCCTGTTCCTGTTTGTTTCTTCCTTAGCAGTGGTTCTTGTGCACATCAAAGGGAGAAGGAAAACTATATAAACAAAATTCGACCAGCCGAACAGAGTGAGTTTTTTCCCATTAGAGAGGACTTTTTTTGTTGTTGTTGTTTCTCCTCTCCTCTCTCTCCCTTTTTCCCAGTGTGTGGGGGAAGGGAAATCCATTTTCAGTTTCTCCAACACATCCTGGAGGGTGCCACTCCACGTGAAAACGACCAGTGATTCCACAGCACCCCCTGCTGAACAGCATAAAGAACTGCAGGCTCTGCCTTTCCTGTGATCCAACAGCACCACCTGGTGACTGGCACAGGACACTACAAACTCTGCATCTCCGGTGATCCAACAATGCCCCCTGTTGACTGTGGTAAGAATTGTACCTAAGGGCGCAACTGAACTGTTTACTTTTTTCCTTTGCTTGTTTATTGGTTTGTTTTGAAGGTGTCCCTACAATGGGCAAGGACACCTTCCACTAGATCAGGTTGCTCAAGGCCGTATCCAACCTGGCCTTGAACACTTCCAGGGATGGGACATTCACAGCTTCTCTGGGAAATGTGTGACACTGCCTCACCATCCTCACAGTAAAGGATTTCTTCCTAATATCCAATCTAAAACTACCCTCTTTCAGTTTAAGGCTATTGCTCCTTGTTCTATCATTCCGTGCCCTTGTAACAAGTCCTCTTGTAACCCCTTTAGGTACTGAAAGGCACCCTAAGGTGTCCCTGGAGCCTTCTTTTATTCAGAATTAACAACTCCAGCTCTCTCAGCCTGTCTCCACAAGAGGGGTGATGCAGCTCTCTGATCATCTTTGTGGCCTCCTCTGGACTCACTTCAGCAATTCCACATCCTTCTTATGTTAGGAAAGACAAACTTCAACCATTCAAAAATATAGCAATCAATACAAAGAAAAGCCAGCAGAAGAGCTTGATATCTTTTCTCTGTATTAAGAAAAAAAGTCAGGAGTATCTCCTTGCTTTCCAAGACAATGACTTGAACACCTGATTCCTTCAGTGGCAGGAGAGGATATTGATATCTGCTTGGCATACCTGCTTATGAACTAGCAAACCCATACCTCGAAGTGACCTTTAACAGAGCTTTTAATGACAGTGAATTGTCAAAAGACTCATAGAGGGGAAATATGGTGACCCAAATTACAATGTAGCTATCAGCATGAGGCAAAATAATGGTAAATGAAAATGGGTTTCAGTCCATGGACAGGTACACAATGAGTGAAAGTCAACTCTTCAACAAATCTGTTCTCATCCCTTGAATGCTGATGAATTTGGTTGCTAAAAAAAATTATGTAAATTTATCAAGTATTTCACTAATTACCACATGAGATTCTAATTAAAAAGTTAGGAGTGTAATAGCAATTGAGTGCACATTCTGAATTAAAAACTATTTAGCTAAGTAATTAAAAAATTATCTGGCCATGGGAAACTGTCATGAAATGTGGTATGTCTCCAGGCTTCTCTAGGCATTGATATTGAAGTGCCAAAATGCAAGATTATTGGTAGGGGTCTGCCAGTAACTACATAGTCACTGTTGGTAAAGTGTGTAGATGAGATAAAGATTAAGAGGAACAATAACAAAATACAGAGCACTTGGTTCATTTGATAAGATGGTCCCAAACAAAACTAAATATATTTTAGTGAAGACAAGTGGAGCAAGGCAGGCAGGCTAGTCTTAAGGAAGAGAATTTTTCCTTTGGAAACTCTAACTCTGAAGAAAGATCCAGATCAGAACCAAGAAGCCATCATGAAATCCCTTGAGTCTGGAGAAAGAAGGACTCAGGGATTACAAAGACTGAAGTGATTTTTATTGCCATCATAGTGAATTAAATACTGGAATAGTGTTCCATTCTATGCTTTAAGAAAATAATAAAGGTTACAGAACTGTAGAAAGAGCCTCAAAATTATTCAGTTGCTAGAGATAAATACATGATAGTGAGAGACTTAGAAGAACTTGGTCTACTTAGTTTATCAGAAGAGCACACTGGGGATGGTGTGAGGATTCCAGTATACAAAATATTTCTTCAACAAAGAAAATGTGAGTGTGAAATGGAGAAGGAATAGCAAGAAGTAAGAGCTGAAAACTGAAGCCATGGAAAGTAAAATAGGAAACAAGTCTGCTTTAAAATCACACACAGAGACAGTCTTTGACTATTGGGAAAAAAATACCAGTGACTGTGGCAAAGCTTTTATTTCTGGCAGTCTTAAAAGTCCAGCTTGAATGCTCTTCCAAAGATGTGCTTTTGTCAAACATGAGATTCTGGGCTCAGTGCCAGGGAGAATGTACAAGCACTCAGTGCCTGTAATGGATAGGTGAGCAGACTAAATGACTTCATTGTCTAATCTGGCCTCACACTCTGGGAACTTGGGAGCCAGACCAGTGTAAGACTTAATGATGTGTGCGGCCCCATGCTGCCCCAAACCTCTTCCTTTCTTGACTAATTATGTCCCAACACCAGTTTCTTCTTCTGAAATTGCCCAAGTGGGGTCTTGGCATGGGCAGAAACACTTAAACTAATGTGACTACCACAGTCACTGGTCTTGCCCTGAGCAGGGTGGGCAGGAACCATGAAAGAAAACCCATGCTTTTTAATTACATTATCCAGATCTATGTGCTGAAGTTCTGTGCAGCATGGGACCCACCAGGCCAAGCTCAAGGAAGAGTGAGTATTATGGACGTGGAAAACAAATAATGGGGACAACCTTTAGTCTTCTCCTCCAGCCACCACCTGAACTGAAACATCAGTAGAACACAATGGCACCTGCAGGGATTTGCTTCACAGCTTATGAACCATCTGTAACTGAATCTCAGGCTGCTCCTTCACTCTTCTCCCAAGGTAATGCTGAGCCCAGAAAGAATTTACTCTGCAGCCCTAAATACATAAGAGTACATTCATGATAATAATACACAGAAGACAAACCATATACCTAAGAACCTGTCAGCAAGGCTGTTGGACTGCAGAGCCAGGGCTGTTCGGAAACCTTTGCTGTCTGACGGGATGATGGTGGACTGACAGACAAAAGCACCCACAAAATTGGAAAAATCTTCTGATTCTGCAACCATGTCCTTCAGAGTAACGTCTGTGATGTTGTCAGTGCAAATTGCCATCTTCTTCCCCTGTGGACAATCAGGAAAAAAAGGGGGAAGCTGTTGGTTGTTGATAAGATGTGAAAAAAGTTTGGGAAAGGAAAGATTGCAAACTTTCTGATTGCGAACAGGATGAGATTCATTACTTTACCTTATAACAACTTGATGTCTCTATGTGTCTGTCATAAGAGGGACAAATTGCAGCAATAAACTGTGCCATTGTGAAAGCTCTGATTAAAGCCTTGTACAGACTCAGAAACACAATGTCACCTCTGGCATGTGTCTTATCAGAAATCTGTGCTGTGGAGCACTCCTCTTAGTTTATCTTGACAGCACAGTGTTTACTTGCAGAGCATAATAAAATGGCTTGCAAAGGAAAACCCTATTTCCCTTCCCTTCAAATAATAGAATGTAGAATACCTCTTTATTTGGGATTTAATCCTGACAAAATATTTTCAAAGCACAAATACATGAAATCCCTAAACAGATATATAGCCTTCAAGGCTGTCTTAATGTCACATCTCGAGACCAGTGCTAGAATCAGAGCAACAGCAATGAAAGACAAATCACCAGACTCAGTTTTACTGACAAAATGTCAAGCACTCACCACCTAATCATGGTTGGTAGTACTGTAGTACCATCATAGTAATTTGGGAAAATTAAGACCAGATCCACAGGGGAGTCAGCATATCTGCACTTTTGTTGATCTAGTTGTCAGCAGCTCTAATCCAGGTGGTAGTTAAACACACATTCAAGCCTAAAAGTATGTAGAATGCTGTAAAGAAATGTGACTATTCATCTGTCTCAACTCATGCAAATCCTTTGGTACATGGGAAAAAGACTTCAGAACTTTACAGGGCTGAACATCAACGTAAACTACATGTGCTGGTTTTCATGGGACAATGCACAACACTGATACTGCTCTGAAAGGTCAATTTATGTATGTGACAACAAGCTCTGGTACAGTCCAAGCCCCAGAGATAGGTCTCTTGACTCTGGGACAGAGACTGTTTGATTCATCAACTAAACACATTTTTCTACCACTTTCAAAGGATGCTGGTCCAAGTCAGCACTGGGAACCTTGGCCACTGGCAGACAGCAGGATGGCCAGGGGCTCTGCTGACAACATCTCCAGTCAAGTCATGAGGGAAACATGGAAAGAAGTTGTCAGGTGATAGACTCAGGCTCTTCACTTGAGCTCCTTGGTGGCAGCACACAGAGGTCAGGGTTGTGACCCAAGTGACTTGAAGACACAAGAACTAAGAAAAGGCAGGGATGTGATACAGGTTTTCTTCTGAGAATTGTTTATGGCCTAAAACTTTGTAATCTCTGCTCTGGAAAATAATTCGGCTGCTCAAAAGTCTTCTTGCACTGCTAAGCAAGATCCAAAGGGAAGTGTTTGCACAGTGTTGGTTACAATTCAGCTGAAGGGGAGTCCTTGTCCTGCCTCAGTGTGACCCCAGATCATCAACACAGGCAACAAATTGGTTCATCCCCCCAGCTCTCAACACCAGCTGAGCTCACCTCATTCCCACACAGGCTGATGTTAAAGAAGTGGAAGAACTTGGTCCCTCGGGAAGTGAAGCTGGGTCCGCTCATCAACGAGCCCACCCGGCTGAGGTTGCTAAAATTGTAATTCAGGCTCTGGTTATCCTTGACATAGGACACCAGGCAGTCACTGAAGCAGGCAGTGTGGTCCTGTAAGGAAGGAGAGGCATCCATTAAAGAGCAGTAATGGAACAGCAGCAAACCATTCCTCTGGGAGTTAAAGCAAGCAGGTGCAGACAGGACTGCTTTCCTTGTTAAGGATGAAGGGCAACTCTGTCCTATTCCTCTAATTCATCTTTCCCTTGGGAGAATTCCCATTCCTGTTTCAGTCCCTTGCAATCACATATCAGGACTATAATGTTCCCCAAGCCTGTTTGTCCTGCTGTTTGCTGCATTAGCCAAGAAAATGTAGTTTCTTTCTTTGTTTTGTTCTGTATGCTTTCAGGATCCCAATGTTCCAGCTTAAAGCCCTGTAAACAGACCAGAACATGCCCTTGGTTACACTTGCATCTTGCAAAGGAAACACAACAAACAGTCCAAAACAGAAGGACTGTATATGAACCCAGCTGAAGTCAGGCAGAATATGAACAAATTGAAGCAGTTTTTCTAGTACCTGTGCAGCTCCTTGCATGTAATAAATGCTTACCCAGGCTTAAGGGCAATTTCACATAAGAAGAACTTGTTAGAGGTTTCCAAAGGCACAGACACATCATCCAGCAGAGAAAGTCCCTGAGTTTAAAACAGCAGGTGTCTGGGACAGTTTTAGGTGGAAGCAAGATATATGCTTGCCCTGTTTGTACATGTCCACAGCTCCTTGAAACAAACCCGTTTTTTGAGCTGATGTTGTCAATTTTATCTTATTACTGCATGTTTGCAAACAGAAATTAGACTAGTGACATCTCTGGAAGAGTGGGCTCACTGGTTATATCTATACTACACTGCTCACAAAGCACATACCTGTAGGAAAGCACTAAAAGTGGCCCTTTGAGGGTTTATAGCCCAAAAAACCCCTGTCTGCCCGTCACTCAGGAACACTCAGTTCCTGTACCTTGGTGCTCCTGCTGCCAGGCCCACAGGGGATGCAGGCCTCCCTGCCATAGACCTGGTGGATGGACAGGAAGGTGTTGGCCGGGCACTCCTTGCACTGGCTGGTCTCCTTCTCGATGTAGTGTCCCGGCGGGCAGGGCACGCAGGATGAGCCGGACTGCTCGGAGCCCAGAGCACAGGCCCGGCAGGAAGAGGCCACTCCATCCACTGCGTTGGTCACCGTGATGGAGTAGATCTTGGCCATGTCATTGATGAACTGTCTGCTCTGGAACGAGAGCCAAGGAAACCACCCTGGTGTCACCACACCATTGCGTTTGGACATAGATGGACAGACCTATCTATGCATCAGTTCAGGCATCAGCTTATCCATGGCTCTGTCCCTCCTCATGGATCTTTTATCCACAGCTGCCTCCCCAGGGCGGCTTTATGGTGAGAGCCGCTCACCCCTTACAGGAAGCCTGTGAGCTTCAACAGAGGGTGAGAGCCCTAGGGATGAGTGTCCAAGGAAAGCTGTGTTCTAAAGACCTGTATGTAAAGAAGTACTTACATCTTGGCCCTCATTTATTCTCTGAAAGGCCCAGGTGAAGGTGAAGGAAGCATTTTTGGAGATGATGTGAGTGTAGGATTGTTTTTCTTTACTTCTTTCCCATGATTCCACCACATTGGTATTTTTTCGATTAACATCCTATAAAATAGATATATTTTGAAAACAAACAAACAAAACACACACACACACAAAGTGTGGTCATAGTACACTAAACATCAGCATTTTATGATATAAAGATTAGTATATAAAAAGGACTTTACAATCACATTTAACAATTAATATAAGAGAGCAAACATACTTATTCTGTTTTCCACAACTGGCAAATTTTTAATTGAGAATGGGTGTCCATCTCAAAAGATGTTCTGATTCATATAAGAGCTAAGTTCAAAGTCCTGTAGTAGTTTATAGCCATTATGAGGACAAAATCAGCACAGTGGTTCTTTCAGATTTGAAATTTTGTTTGTAAAACAAAATGAATGTAAAACTTGCAGGCACAGGAGCACAGAAAGGGGAAGGCAAAAATTCAATGGTAAATTGTAGTTTCTGACATCTTCAGATACCCACTTTGATGGTGTCTCTTGTGAAACAGAACTAAGGCCAGTAATACAGCACCAAGATTTACATGACAAAACTCTGCTCAATCTATGTCTATATTTCTTATTCTCTATTGGCTTTAAACGTTCCAGTGAAAGATGCTTTTCCTTTAAAACAGATTCCTTTACATTAGCACTAAAGGCAGACTCTTAAATTACCACCTAATTTCCACTCAATTCTCTTTAAATTAAGAGCAGATTCCTCTAAAGAGCCACTAAACACAAAAAAGGACCAGCATCCCCTTTCACTGGAAGGGGCAAGGGAACTGTCACAGATCCAGTTACTTTCCTCAGCTGATGGGCTTTCAATAAGCAGACCATGAATGTAAGTAAAATGGTACTTTGCTTTCACAAACATCTGCCTGCTGCCCTACTGATCCCCCCAGGTCATTGATAGGATCAAGTCTAAACCTCCAAACTGTCCACTTCCCATCCCTCCATCCCACATCTTGATTTGTAGCTCTGTCACTAGAGGCCAACTCAACTGCACAAGAGACACTGATAATTTCATCGCTCGGTTTAACAGGAAAATTTGGCTCTTTAGTGTCCAATAACTTCTCTTAGAATAAACAGATAACCAGGAATGGTTCATAACTCACAGGGTGGAGGAATTTCTCTAGGTCATTCATTAAATCCTTCCTGCAAGGGCACTGCAGATACTAAACTAATGTCGTAGTTAATCTTAATCATAATAAACCAAGTGCAACTAATCACACCTATGTAGAGGTATTAGAGCGACATGTGGAATATCAGGCTCAGTCCTCAGTCATGGAGAAAGAGGTCTCACTTACTGCCATAAAGTACAGCACACAATCTGCTGAACAGATGGTCTCAAAAATAAAAGTAATCCGTCCTAGTTCTGCCCCAGTTGCTCCTGTCACTGATGTCGGAGGTCTGTTTAACAGAGAAGGAACAAAACATTTAAACAGTGCTCTCCAGACAGGCAGCAGTCAATCCTTCAAATTCCTTTTGGGATGTTGAAACTATCAAAGTCCTGTCACAGAAAGCCTGTCCTTGCAGAACAGCAGAGGGCAGGTTTCACAGTGGCTCTGCACTGGGTGTCAGGTGCAGCAGGGTCATTTTTTGAGTGTCTGAATTCTTTATTGTACAGTCCCCTCCTTCTAATGAGCACCCAAATTTGACCATATTTGTAGGGAGTTTCCTTATTAAAATGCATTGCATGTTTAAAGTGATTTTACACCATTGTAATTGCATCTACCCTCTGCTGATGGGGGATGCTTTTCAGGAGTTTCAACCAAATCAGAAGTATTCAGGGTGCTCTCCTTGTGAGGCCACACATTGAATACTGTGTCCAGTTTTTGGTCCCTCACTACAAGAAGGACATTGAGGTGCTGGAGCATGTCCAGAGAAGGGCAATGGAGCTGGTGAAGGGTATGGAGCACAAGCCTTATGAGGGGTGACTGAGGGAGCTGGGTTGTTCAGCCTGGAGAAAAGGAGGCTCAGGGGTGACCTTATCACTCTTTACAGCTGCCTGAAAGGGGGTTGTAGCCAGATGGGGGTTGGTTTCTTCTCTCAGGTAACAAGTGACAGAACCAGAGGAGATGTCCCCAGGTTGTGGCAGGGGAGGTTTAGACTAGATATAAGGAAAAATTTCTTCACTGCAGGGGTGGACAGGCATTTGAACAGGCTGCCCTGTGGTGGAATCACCATTCCTGGAAGTGTTCAAAAGGCATGTGGATGTGGCACTTGGGGACTTGGTTTAGTCCTAGGTTAATAGTTGGACTCAATGATCTTGGAGGTCTTTTCCAAACTTTATTATTTACCTTTAATTTAATTGCTGCTTGCCCATACTGTAAATTAAAAATCAGGGTTTGCTCAGTGGGTGTAAGAAGTCACCAACTCCTTCAGCTGAAATTCAGTGAAGGAAGGCTGATGTTCCTCTTGCCATACCTTACCTGTCTCATTATTTTACACCAGTCTGAGCTAGTAGTCTAATCTCACTCTTTTGACAGAGACACAACCACCTCACCCTGTCCAAGGGTTCAGGACAGAAGGGATATCCCATTCTCCTGCAGTGCCTGCATCTCCCCACTGGCTCCAGGGGAAGCACAGACTGTGCAGGCTGCCTGGAGCCACAGGGCAAAGTAATTTGAATTTCACTAAAATACTGCAAGGGCAGGCTCCAATATCCACCCCATGGCAGGTTTAGCTGGTTGCTTTGGAACAATTTAAAACCAGAGGGATAGGAGTATCTCTTCTCAGGTTCCAGACAACCAAATGTCTGGTATCGTAGAATGAAACAAACACTGCTAAAAACTAAAGTCTTACACACTCGTCTGCCTCAATGGACTGACTGGGCACTACTTGGAATAAAATCCAAGTTTCTTCTTGTCTCTCATTCATTACATTTTTCCATTTCAGAAAGGAAAACCCAGATAATTTCAGGGGTAGTGTCAAATAGGTGTAAGAGGCAGAGATATACAAGAAATATATGGAAAAAAAAAGAAAATAGTTCCTTACTTAAATCCCGGGATGTGCAGGTTCAAGATAAGATAGTCATTGTCAGAGCCTCCTGCCGCGCTCTGGATGTGATCACCAGCCACCTCCCAACCTTCATAGGACAGAAAAAGAACAAAATTTCAATAAATGGATAGCGAAAAGAATCTATGTTCCCATAATTTTTTAAGCAATTCAGTACTTCAGTGTATTTTAAAGATACCTGGTATAAACTATAGAGCAATATTATAATGCTTTTCAATGAAAAATTTTAGCAATTGTATGAACTGCTGATTATACAGGCAATTGTCACCTCTGAAATCAGCAAAGCAATTGCAATTCCCTGACCTGTGCTGTGCAGCTCAAGGTGGATGATCCATCTGATATCTTCCAGCCTTAAAACAGATGAATCAATGAATCCGTGTGCTAAATGTTAAGCATATACTTCAGTTCCCTTCTGCTCAACACACATAATTCAAAGCTCGAGTTACATCGGTCTGACACGGTGGATCAGACAGGAAAATCTGTCAGAGGAGGCTGGAGGTGGAAGAAGTCCCAAATGGGATCATTTTCACTGGTGAGCTGTGACTGCTCTCTGCTGCAATTTTAACACATGTGCAGGGAGAAAGCTCTGAGTGCTAAATGAACTGAATCACAGACTTTGATTAAGTTTTGCAAAAGAATTATGTATAAGCTTGATGAGCATAGTTGTAACAAAATGAGATAAGCTAGGGAGAAGTCAAACAGTGCTTTTTTCAATATGAAAGCATCTGAAGATACATTGAAGTCTATAGTGGGATAGGTCCTTGGCTGAGGGGACTTCACACAGGCTGCAATTCCTGCCCTCTTCTGGTGTACGAGAGATTTTTCATTTCTGTTTTGTGATACTGTGACATTGCTTCCTACAGGAAATTTCAAGCCTAGTGCAATTAAAGAAAAGGGGGGGAAACTGTGTTGTGAGTCATGCAGCAAAGAGCACACTCATTTTGATGGGTGCTCTGTTACAGCAGTGATCCATGCAGGAGAAAGGCAGGCACACAGCAACACAGGGAGCCGGACTCACCGTTCATGCCATCGCATTTCGAGTTGCCAACATTGAAGCAAGATGTCTTCATGTTGCCTGGCAGGATGTTCCACCACTTGTACTCAAACCCAAGGGCTGGTTCAGTCCCAGCAGGGCAGGCTTTGCACTCTGCAGGCCAAGAGGGCAGGAAAAGGATATCACATGGCCAAAGCTCATCTCAGTGTTTTAAAGAACATAGGTACTACTTTTTTATTCTCTGGTGCAAGTAATAACCAAAGAAAATAATTTAATTTTTTTGTAATTAAACAGTCAAAGACTTACGAGGACCAGAGGAGTGGAAATGAGACCAGCATTTTATAAATTGTAGATCATAAGTTCATTGTAAGTAATTAGCAGCTGCTCCCTAAAGCTACATTTCCTTTTTAATGGGTTCAGCTGAAGGTTTGATCATGCTGGTAAACAAGAATTCTCACTAAATGCTGTAAGGGACCACTGAGCTAATACATCTCAGAATCAACAAGCCAGAGTTTAGACTAGACAATGTTGTCAGGCTATGAATTTGACAGTGCTTATAATGAGGTTTTCACAGGAAAGAACTTGGCTTGGGCAGAAGAAGGGGTAAGGAGGAATTACTGACTGTAAAAATTCTGATTCCCTTCTCAGAATCCCTTAAAATAACTCTCAGGATGTTTATATCAGCAAAGAAATGAATCCAGAACACAGCAGGTCAACTTAGAGCAGCAATCCCTGATAAGAAAGGACTTCTGAGAGAAAACAGATATCCAGCTCCCTCTCTTCAATGTCATTTAACAAGTATTTTGTGCAAAATGGACTCTGGTTTGTGATGATGTATCATTTAAATAAGTCACATGCAATCAGACAACTGCTTTTGGGGACACATGCAATTGTTTTGCAGACTCCTACCCTGTGTCCCATCCGAAAATGTGCCTGGCGGGCAGGGAGTACAAGAAGATGAGGCATTGTTGTAGAAGCCAGGATTGCAGGGTGGACAGTCCTGCCTCTCTCCAGAAGGAGGTAGGGTCAATGCATCAGGGAGATCCTCTCTGCAGATCTTGGGTTCAATCCATTTGTACATGATCTGAGTCTGGAATGAGAAGACACTGAGCTCACACAGTGTGCCATGAAGATTTAGGACTAGATGCACCAAGGTCCCCCTTGTAAATTAAATCAGGGTTTTCCCAATGACTGAGGCCAAAACAAGACATTGTACATCCAGGACTATAAAGGGGAGGATGGATAAGGGAAACAGAAGTAATTGGGTTCATGGGAGATTCCAAGATATCAGACCTTAAGTACAAAACAAAAATGTGAAGCTTAAAATAATTACTACTGTTCATTCCTATTTAATTAGTAAATATCCCCATGGAGACATTTCTGAGGAAAGTCAGATAAATAATTCTAATGACTGCATAAGCAATCTCTGCATTTTTATTGTAATAACACAAAATACACCTTCTGCATCATAAATTGGGAAGGTATCTGTTAGAGAACACCACAAGTTCTTCATTTTTTCTCCATACTGACCTGTTCTTTGAAAAGTCCTCAATTTCTCTCCAACCATTTTTCAACCTACTAAGCAAATGCCAAAACCATGCAGGAGCTCTCCCAGCCCCCCTCCAGTCCCTCTGCATCACCTAAGGAGCCATTTATGAACACCAGCATGAGTCAGTCCATGGTGTTACCATACACAGCAGTATGGCCTCTCTGTCATCACCTCTCTATGAGGAGAGGCTTTAGGTGAAATCCATAACCTGTGAAGTTGGGTTTCAAATTTCATCTTGCTTTGGGTCTATCTCTGAAATATCTCTTTATATCTCAAGATGAAAATTAGTTGAATTGCATAACTGAGAAACCCATCTGGCAAGAGTTAAACCTGACCTCAGCTCTTGCTCTGGGTACTTCCACCCTTTGGTCCCAGCAGTGCAATCAGGGATCCTTAAGGCCAGCAGCTCAGGTAAGCAAGGTTTCACCTTATGAATTTGATCCAGACCCCCTGTCATCCTGGGCATTGAGCTGCTTGCGCTCAAGGTTAGCCCTCTGATAACACAGAGCACTTCAAGTAGTATCGATCCTCTTTGAAACTGTTTCAAAAAATAAGCTGGAAGGAGCTTCAGTTCAGACTCAGGCCTTGGCTCCTGGGAGCTGCAATTAAGCTGAGGGTTTCACACTTCATCCCTGCCTGTACTTCTTTGCAGCCCTGCCTGTACTTCTTTGCAGCCCTGCCTGTGCCAGGTAATGTACCCTGGCTGACCCACACACATCCTGGCAGTCCCATGGACACAGTGTCCCAGCTTCACATGGGTCGTGTCTCATCTCTATGGACTTGTTTGGCCACCTTGGCTCAGTTTGGCCACTGGATCTGCTTTGCCCACTTTGCTCAGGCACTGAAGGACTGCTCCTGCTGTCAGAGTGCCACCCGTTCCTATGGATCCAGCAGCCCAAAACCCAAACAGACTGCACACCACAGGAATCCTACTGTATCTGAGCAGGGAGAAGAGGGTCAGAGGGTCCCTGCAGCCATGGGGTGAGGATCTCTGACACTGAGGATGAAGCACTCAGCCTGGGATTTTGAAAGCAGCAGGTAGATGAAAAGTCAAGAGGAGTCAAGTGCCTAAATCTCCTGAGTCCCCTTCTACACGTGGAGTGGGACAGGAGGGAGACAACAATCTAATCTAACGTCCAGAGAAAATCCTGGCTTATTTTAGTAATCTATGGATCAGTAGGCTGGTTCTTTACAGCCACAGTTCACCTGAGATGGCCTGCACAGTCAGACCCTCTCACTGAGCTGCATCACATGGAGAGATGGATGGGGGGCATGGCAAACCTGGCCCAATTTTCAGAGCTTCAGAGCACTAAGCAGTGAGAGCCACGGAAAGGGTCAACAGTAGGAACCTATTTAGTGCCAGGGAGAGTTGGATCCCACAGAGCAGTGACAGGGTAATCTGCAGGAGGCTGCAATTAAAGCAGTACCTGGGGGTGTAGCAGCAAACACCACTGCTAATTTCTCAAGTCATTAGAGGCAGTTTACAGAGCACGAATCAGTGAGTCAAGACCAGGTTGCAGAGCCTTCCAGCTCTTGGGCTAAACAAACTGATGCTTCCTTATTAAAGCACTCAAGATCTCATCTGCGTTTTGGAACTGGCTGATCAGGAGACTCCAAAATACTCCATCCTGCTAGCAGATATAAGCCAGCAACATAGAGGTGCTAGGGATTTTTACTGCTTGCAATCCCATCCAGATCTAAGGGAGATGGGTAAGGAAAGAGGCAAAAGAGGACTGACCTTGTGTCCACACCTCTGTGAGCTTCTTATACCAGTAAACAGGAGTTTCTTCTCCAAATTCCACCAAAATTCCCACTTGATTGCTAGGACAAAGGGCAGGAAAGCTCCAAATCCAGGTTGCTCTACCAGCAGGTCCTTCTATGAGATGATATACCCATTGGACCTAAGATCTCTGGGTGAAACAATCTCCTGAGGGTCCAGGTGATATGAGGCATGGCAAGCACATCACCAGCAGCTAAGCTCTGCTGCTGAACACAAATACTCCCAGGCTGTGTATACAACATTATTTCAACAGATCACGGGCCCTTCCTCGACACTAAAACTAAGGGACATAACATCCATCATACCTATGCAGCCAAACACTCTTCCACTTGAAATAGGAATGGTCGTATCCAATGATCCTGTGCCCGGGCACTGCTGGGACAGGGCAAATTATCACAAGCTCAAAGTATGCCAGGAAAGATTGCTAACAACCAAAGAGCCAGGTTTATTCTGGGACAGTACTTAACCTCTGCTCCAACCAGCATGGAAGCATGAAGGTAGCACCAGTGACCCCGTCAGACTCATCACAAGTGCAAGGAGCTTATCATCTCACAACAACAGATCCCTTAAGCAGACCCATGACGGGCAGATTCTTACAGAGGGATAAAGGCTGGAGAGAAGGCAGCTAAAGGACAAACCCTAAGCCTCAGAGAGATTCAATGCTGGAAGTAAAATTGGGAAAGTAATTGGGAAAGGGATTCCTAGAAACCCTACCTTGTTTTCAAATTCCGAGGTAGCAGTAAGCTCAATGAGCATAAAAATAGTATCATGCCTTCTACTTACTTTTCCTTCCTTATCACATGGGGTATGGATCTGGAAAAAGTCTTTGCTTGTGCATGGAGGACGCTCTATACATGCGCTAGATCCCTCATCTAAAAAGAAAAGGTGACAAACAGGATATTAAACTATCAAATGATCCCTGGAAACAAACATAATGAGCTTAAAATATAGAGATTAAAATGAGTCAGCAGAAAAATACAAAACAAGAATGAAAAATCAAGCTCTTAATGGAGTCTGCATGAACATTCCCCCAAACTGAAGTGTCGGAAGAGGGAAAATACCAGCTATGCTTGTGCTGCCACAAAGAACTTCATTGATTCAGTATGCCCAGGGAGAATTATTAGGAAGAAGTTCTTTACTATGAGGGTGGTGACACACTAGAACAGCTTGCCCAGAGAAGGTGTGGATATCCCATCCCTGGAAACAATCAAAGCCAGATTGGATGGGGCTTGGAGCAACCTCGTCTAGAGGAAGATTCCCTGCCCATGGCAGGAGGGTTGGAACTAGATGATCTTTAAGGTCCCTTCCAACCCAAGCCATTCTATGAGTTACCAAAACCCTCACCCCAACCCTTCACCTTCAAGCAGTAATTTGTGCAGTTTGCCACCATGGGAATATGTTCTCACTTGATAAGGAACAAAATTACTCCAACCTGTTAGAAACTTCCTTACAGCACTGGCCCAGTTTTTCCTCTTCCCAGATATTTTTGCAATATTTCCTTTCCCACTGTGAGTACAGGCACATGCCCAAGCATTTGCCATAATCGGTGATAGTGGGTCCTATGTTTGGTAACTTATTCTTCAAGAAAACTACTACAAGGGAGAAAACTACTACAATGGAGAAAACTGAAGACATTTTGACAGTGAAGAATAGATTAAGACCATGTTATTTGATGGTCACCAGCTAACCATAGCTGGGAATGCAGAGGACTTTGGGACTAGGTTTTGCAACTGGCTCACCACACCTTCCAAGAATAGCCGAGGCAGGGACAAGCCCAGAGAGAGTATTTGGAAAGGACATTCCTCAAAACGTGTTAATTCTGAAGGAGTAATGAAGCAAATGCATGTCATCACCAACCAGTAACACAAGTTACCACGAGAGGGCACAGCATGACTGTTAAATCCTTCAGAAGAACTATTGCCTTCCAGGTCATAAAGATCTCCATCCCTTCATGTTAACGTGGATGACCTTAGCCAAGTTCGACTGTGGTCTGCTATGTATACGTACCCTCTGCATATTTTGGGAAGTCCCACGTTCATTTCCACCTTTCATATCAACTGGAGACTAAACTTAGTTGTTGTATACAACCACTCTCACACCTCAAACATCCGATGACCTCACGTACTCAGACCCTCCTGGTTTTGCTTAACCCCACTTGGTTTATGTACCTGCATAATACATTTCTTCTTTACACTTGGTGCACTCTTTAGCTCCTTTCTCAGAATAAGTATTTCGTGGGCACACCTGGCAGCCAGATGCACCTGGTTTGTCACTGAAGGTACCAGGCTTGCATGAAAAGCATTCAGACGTGTATGCAACTCCTGTAAATAAATTAAAACACTGAAAGAGAGAGGTACACTCCATAACTGCTGTCTACCTGCTCATGGGTGAGAGCAAGGCAGCTGCATAAAACAGCATAAAACCCACAGAATTTCACCACTTGATTAGACACTTTGGCTTTGCTGACTCATAATTTAGGTCTTTAATCTTTGCTCCTCAATGCAGGTCTGACCCACCTAGAAACCTTATATGACACTTCAAGTTTGATTACACTTAGAACAGGACTAAAAAAGCAACCCCAGATGAAATAAATAATGTAAATTATATTTAACTGTCAATGCTATGATATATATCCATTTATCATTGTTGAGAGGCTTACCAATAACCATAGTCTTTTTATACTACACTAGAGAAACCCTGCTTATTATTTTTCTCTTTCTATGTGCTAAGACAGTCTTCTCCACTAGACGGCGTCATTTACCAGATAAATTAATTTTTCAGCCTTTTCCTACCAGTGTGAAGTTTTGCTGTTTCTGCTCTTTAGAGGAGCAGACAGGGGACAAAGGACTACACAAATCTACTTCAATGCTGTAGGCACACCAGTAGAAATAGACTTGGCAAACACTATGAAGAAAGAGTGAGATAAGACCTAAAAGACAAATAACTCATACCTTCAATTGTGATGTTTTTCACCAGAACTGGTTTTACTACTTTGGAGCCCATGAGAATCCCTGTTGTTCTCCAGTATAATATATTGCTACCTGATTTCAGAGTTACCTGCAATAACACATGTGACAGTTATCAGACATCCCCTCATCAAGACATTGTTTTATTTCCCACTTCCACTACTCAGATTTCTTGCATCCTAGCAGTGATCCTGGCTTTTCCTAAGCTGCTTAGTGAGTCAAGAGGAAGTAGGGAGGTGCTGCACAGACATCTCTGAGGAGTGTCAAAGCAAGCTTTGTTAAAAAAGTTTCTCAACACCCAGTTTTACGGAAGAACACCAAGAGCTGTTTCTGACCTTGTTGTAAGCAGAATTTGGAAAACGCTGTTCCTGCCCTTATCCATCTACCCCCGGCACTCAGAAGCTTTTATCTCTAGCTCTATGTTCAGAGATAGTCAATCAGTTTGTTTTTAAAGCCTTGAGATACGCTTTCATAAAGAAACTCAGCATGACCCAGAGTTTAAAAATGCAGGCTCACAAGAGAGTTTTGTTTAGAGGCTTTAAAAATCAAGCTCTGCCTGCATCTAACACTACAGCATAGTGATCGATAAGCCAGGCATAAACCAGAGCTGTCCCCAGCAGCAATCCCAACCTTCCTGCTCATTTCTGACCCCAAAGAGCAGATGAAATGCAGAAAACAACCTGTTTTCCAGTTACCCTGGCCTACTTGTTTTTGTGGAGTGGTTCAGTAAGTGGCTGCACGCCTGTGCTGGCACGGGAAGGGTGGTGGCATCATGGTTGGGATGAGGGGCAGAAAGAAGGCAGAGAACTTCTTTCAGCAGCAGTGTTGGTGCCTTCTGCCTTCAACTCGCTTATGTAACTACAATGCCACTCTCATCAATAAAAACAGCAGGTTTACCAAGTCCCTACCTGTCCTGAAAAGCTGTATCACACCTACTAGCCCAGTACAAGATGCCTATTGCCAACACAGTGATACTGGCCTGAAGGTGCTGCATTTTCACACAAGAAGAGGGTTAAACTCTACCAGCATAAGAGTCCAGGATAATGTGATATATAGCAGTGCTGTACAGGTCTGGCATGACCATGATTTTTGTTCACCCAGGTTAAAGAGTTCAAAACTTCAGCAAAGTGAAAATACAGCCTATTGTATCTCCCACACCCAAGCAGCTACTACCCAAGGGGGCAGAGGAGAGCTGAGTTACCACAGGTAACTGGGATCATACTGAGCCAAACATTGTGTTGTGTGGGGTAGAGGCACCCGACATCAGCTCTGGTGCAGCAGGGCTCACTTGCTGAGAGCAGAGGCTGCAGCAACCAGAAGACTGAGCTCAGAGAAGCCACTGTGACAGGATTTTCAGCACTCAAAAAAACACTTAAGGAGCGCCAGAATCATCATCTCATCTGGCTCACTTGCCTACATTTCAGCCAGGCATCTCAACAACCTTCATAGCCAGGGAAGACACCTGCACACCTCAGATGATGAGCTCAGATGGCACCATCTCCCGTGAAGACTCTGTCTACACCCCTCAGCTCACCCAGGTCCATGTCCTGGCTTTGGATCTATGGCATAACTCATGACCCTCATCCCTCCTCACCCAGATCTCCAGCCACCCAATGTAACTTGCACTGGTCTTGCATCTGAGCAAAGAGGCACTGCCAACCAGAGCTGGCTCAGGAATATGGTTTTTCCTCCAGGAGGACAAGCAGACCGTGGACAATGAAGAGTATGCTGCTGCCTGTGCCCATAAAAGCCTTTTTCTTCTGGCATAATGTCACCTATGCTGGGCCTTTGCTGATATGGCTCTGTGAAAAAGAGTATGATGGTTCAGTAGAAGCCAGGCCTCAGCTAATGAGTTGGTCTATGCATGGTCTGTCATAAAGCAAACTCAGCCAGCTGGGTCATGGGCCAGCCAAAGGGCTCCTGATCCCAACATGGACAGGCTCATATCCGTGCTGCAGGAGCCGCCCTGGTGCTGCCAGCTTGTTTTTCAAATAGGTAAGTCCCCAGAGAGCAGAAGCTGGATGCAGTCCAGCTCTTCTGCACACACTTGAGAATAAAATCTGTCCTGCTTGTCCCCACGTACACATACCACGTCCACTGCTCTGCTGAGGGAATAATCTTGTGTTCTCGTGAGTAAACAACTGTTGTAGAAGATTTCAATTACAGCCGTGCAAAGTGACTGTGGCGTGTGGATTTGCATAAATCTATTTAACTTCATAAAGCACTTGATTCAAAGCCGAGGGAAATCAATACAAAGTCTTGCATCTATATCATTTGCTTTGGGATCAACCTCTTGGGGATCTCTGTGACTTTTCCCCTCAGTACTAGGGAAAGCTGTGCTTCTTCAAATGCATTCCCAGGAGCCAACCCGTTTGGTGTCTGCCCAGAGGAAATCACATACATTTATAAATGGAAAAGAAACTTCCTGAAACAATTTTTCGTACACTTACAGAATGAGAGCCCCACTCTCCGTTGTCTGTGAGCTTCACCCACTTGTCTGCTGTGGACTCCATCTCTTTGCACTGGTCATTTTGTATCTGATAATAAAAACACAAGATCAGTGACCACAATCAGGTGCATCTCTCTGTCAGCATAATGACTGATGGGAATTAAAAGACTCAGCTTTGTTCCTCTTGTCAACATATTTAGGACACCACCTGTGGCAAAATAAACTCCCAACTTTCAAAATCTGCTAAAGCTTAATAGTGCCTCCAGTGACCACCTCTGACATAGATGACAAAAAAAGCAGCAGGAGGAGAAGAACTCAGAGTTATCCTCTCACTGTCTGGTCAGACAAGAATGCTGAGCATTATATCTTGCCTGCTTCCTCCTTCTCCTGAGCCCACCAAGACTTAATTCTCTAAAATCCAGAGGCCATGGACTTCTAAGTCAGAGGGGAAGTAGGAATGGATGGGCCAAAGCTAGAAGAACTGCTTTCTCTGCAGCCAATATCTGCTGTGTCTTTGGTCCACTGCCACCTGACCTAGGGATGAGAGTAACATTATCAAGGGAGAGGCAATATGCCATGGAGAGTCTGTCCTGGCAGAAGTGTGAGATTGGTTGTCCCTCACCCAGGTCCAGGGCAGCTCAAAAGCCTTTCCTTACAGCAGCATTTGGGACACTTCTTTCTTCTTATAACTCTCTTCTCAGACGGAAAAGTCTCATGTCCCTTTGATGCATGAGATCACATACTCAGCTTTTATTGCACCAGGGAGAAAAGCCAATTCAACACTTTCAGACACTTGACCTAGAGTCAAGGATCCTCCTCAGAGCTGCTCCATGTCAAGTCTGAAGTTGCGTAACCCCACATCCTCCAAAGCATCTGTACGCTTAATCTCCACCTAGATCAACAGCACTGAGGAAAAGAGGTGAGAAGAAGCACCTGTGTAGAAGGTAGATCCCTAATTCTTTCGTGGAACATGAGCTACAGCATCTTTGTGTCATGGTTTCCATCTGCAAAAAGGAGGTAAGAATGTATAGTCTCTTCTCACCAGGTGTAAAGGGCGTCAATACGTAAGAAGAGCCAGAGAAGGGAAGATCATACACTTCACCATTTGCCACTGAAGTGCCACTGTCCAGAGCTAAAGCACCATTGTTAAATATATTTAAGCACAAAGACAAGCTGGGAGGGAAAAAAATTTGACTTTTCAGGAGTGTTAAATATGGTTTCCTTGAAATACCGAGGCTGACTAGGAATTTATGGGCAGTTCTATAATGGACTGCACCACTCTGCAGATGCTGCTTTTTGAACAGGGAATGATAAATTTAGAGGAGGTGAATGAATGGCATATGGATAAAAGCAATAACCAAAAAGCGACTTTCAAAGCCAGCACTCAGAGAAACAAAACATTTGCTCCATTGCAGGAGCAGATCTGTCAGTCAGTCAAGCAACTGGAGCTGGGATTCATAATCCTGGCACATTCATGTGACAACAGAGAGTATATTTGCTGCTTTCTCCCCATGAAAGAGGCAGGATAGTCTAATATAAAACTCAAATGGCTAAATAGCCTTGCCTGCACCATCTGTTATCAAAGTGCAATAGCAATCTATCACACTGATGTAGCAGCAAGAGGGTGCCTCCAATAGGTAATGTTTGTCCTCCTTTCCCAGTTCTACTAAGGGTAAGGATACTTTGTACTTTTCTCCAAACTTCACGAAATATTAACCAACATCAGCTAAGACTTCTCAGTCTTGTGAGGTACCATGAGCTATGTTTTTCAGGTAAAAAAACAGAGCTCGTCAGACAGATACAGAGGCAGTAACAGAGGAAACAAAATTTTCAGCCATCTCCCTCTCTGAATTGCCCTCCCATTACGTTTTTTTCTCTCCCAAATGACAGGTACAGGTGTCAGTGGAACCTTCCAAAGCATCTCAGTAAATTGGGGCATCTACACCACACTGCAGATACTGGTGCTGGGAACCCTACAGCTGCCTGGACCACAACCAGTCCATCCACGTGGGCAGAGCAGGATCTCCTTCCCCATTCTGGTCGCTGCTGATCAGACTGTTTTAGCAATCTGGGTGCAGCATGGTGCAAGCCCAGCCAGGCTGCTCCCAGTTCAGAGCTAATGATCTCCGTCCAGCCCCTTCGTTTCACAATGCAGATGCATCGTCAAAATCTAATTCCCAATTCCCACTGAAAGTCATCTGAACTTCTGCTTTTCTTTTCATCTTAATTACTAGGACACAAATTCACCTGAAATCAGAATTAAGGTTTCCACATACTACTACCCTGGAAGAAGTCTTTTTAAACACTAAGTCCCTTTTTGACATCTCAAGTCAAACACCCCCAAACTTGAAGCGTCTCTCACCAATAACTGTCTTGCAAAAGGCTGGACTAACTGGGGCAGTCATGACCCCTAATGGAAAAATCCCAGCGCATGGCAGACAGCATCAGTTCTGCCTGAGTTTTGAAGATGAGATAAATACCAGAAGACAGCATAAGTGACAGAAGGGGAAGAAGATTTTTTTATCTCGTTCAGCCATAACAAACTATGGGCATACAGGGGATGTAAAGGGAGGTAAAGCTGCTTCTAATGGTGTTTTTCTGGGTTGAATTCTTACAATGTAAGGTTGGATTCACCATATAAAAAGCCTTACAAAAAATTCAAAGAAGATGTTGTTGTCAATATACTGGTATTCGAAGAAGACAGAACCGGATTTCTTCAGGTGCACAGCGTAGATGAGGGAAACTGTACAATCATCCCTGTTCGACTCGATGTAATTCCCTCGAGGCGTCCATGAGGAGCTGATGAACATAAACAAAACAAACCTCAACTGAGATCACAGACTCTGAGGTGACTATTCTTACACTACCATACAAAAACATGTTACATAATAAAGAACCCAGAATGCCACAACAGCTAACTGCAGTGAATTTATAAATTTATTACTGGATTACCGTTTATTTTTCAACTCTAATAGATATAATAGATATAGTAATTGTATTTTATATCTGGTTTTATTTTTATATATTACATTAATAATATAAAATCTAATACTTTTCATTAAAACGGTGCATGTGAAAGAGTATGGTACAAAAAGTTGATGACCCAGCCTACATAAGAAAGGTTTATTATCCACTGGTTCAATACACCTTCAATTATACTCAGAAACAGCCTTCTGCAACCACCATGAGTCTCTAAATAGGCTGTAAAAGGACCTTTTAGCCACATTTACTATGTCAGGACCCTGGAGCTTTACAGCTACAAATAAGAGCACCTCCAGGCTGGTGGTAGACTGGCTAGCTGCTGATGAGCCCAAGGAGACCATGCCGACAGCAAAGAGATGGCTACAAAGTTCACCTCCCAGCCACTCTTGTTTGCCATTAGCAGGGCTGGTTACCCTCCGGGGAGCTTAGATGAGTCATTAAGCAGCTTTGTGCTGCTGAGCTGTCTCGGGTTTACCCACGGCTGTGTAACCCAAATGCAAACAGAACTTCTTACTTGTTGCAGCTGTCGGCCTTGTTCTCAGATGAGCCAACCGCCGTGTCCATGAAAGTCGCCACGTTGGAGAATCCTGCTGGCAACTCATCCCACTCATCAAATTTGATCCCACTGCCCAGTGAGTAGGTCCCCTCTGCACACTTGCTGCACACCTGGTTCTTCATCTCGAGGTACTCACCAGAGGCACAGGAGAAAGCTGGGGAGACAATCATTTACAACTTGTGAATGGATACATTAATCCTTGTTAATTTCCATTATTTTTCTGCCACTTGCTTAATTAAGATTGAACTGCCACTAAAGGCAACCAAACAGAATGCCCCGGTCCCAGGAACACAACAGCTGAACTACCAGCTATCAGCTGCAAAACTGAGATGTTCACCAGTTTTTATGTGAGATTGTTTTTCACTGATGTGGCAGCACTGAAACCAAATCCCAAATGATGGCTCCTGATTTGCAGCTTTTCTCTATTGGCAAAACAAGATTTTAGAATCAAAATCTCTCTTGACAGGCTCTGTCTAAAAGCACTTTGCAAAAATGAGGACTTATAATGCAGTTGTCCTCAGCCTTGCTCACCCAACCATTACACCTTGAGCTTAATTAAAATCACTGGTACCTGAGAGCCAGAAAGGACTTATCTCACCCACTTGTATGGCAGCTAAGAGGGATGTCTGCAGCGCACTGATGGTAATACAACACTACAAACCTTGGCTGAGAGTAACAGACCTAATCCGAGGATCTCTCCATGTTTCTGCTCACATGAACTGTATACAAAGCCTTGAACATCTTGCCTGGTAGACCAGGTGGTCTTGGAAAAGGTCACCCATGGGTCTTTGTCTAGCAGATGAGGATCTTTGACTGGGGGGACATTACATGCTGAGAAAATAACCACTGGCTGTCAGCATAGCAAAGACAGTTTTCAAAACCTGTGTAATTAGGGGAAGTATAATGAGAGGTATATTCACAAAATGTCTTTTTTACTGATGTCTCTAAAATTATTTCCTCCAAATAACTGCATGCCCCTTATCCCCCTGGTTACACCTCTGCCTGCCAAGGGAAGATCATTCTCATTATGTAGAAGAAACCTGGAGCAGCTGAATTCCTGTATGCCCAGAGCTCCCTGCCTGTGCCAGGAATCCTAACTCCTGCCTGGACACTCATTTCACTGGCAGGCCATCCCACTTGCCCCCAGTAAGTCCTCTTTGAGACTCAACATCCTGAATGGAGAACAAATGAGCACTTTCTGCAGCACATAGTACTTCCTACATTGCTTGCAGATTTTTAAATTTAACTCTGCCAGTCTAGCCAAAGCAGAATTCAGAGCAACACACACAACTCACATCCCAAGAAACAGTGGGTTTTCCTACTGTGTCACACATGCCACGTTGCACATTGACAGATATTTCATACACCCTCTTTGACAGACATAAACTCATTAGCCTGAGAAACTGCAGGATGAGACCAGACTGCCAGTCAAAGTGGTGAAATGGCCCAAAACAACTGACGCCAGCTGCAGTCCCAGCAAATGTGGTTACACAGATGTGTTGATGTTTATCTGCAGAAAAACTTCTTTGACTGTAAGTACTTTGATAAACTCATGGCTGCATAACACCATTTCCCATCTGAATCCAACCAACAGTTCAGGCTTCCATTTCTGTGCCAGGTCCTGCAGCATTTTCTCGTGTAATTGCCCTTGACGGGTGGCACTGGAAAGCAGATAAAAGGTCCATTTAATGGAAAGATCTGCCAAAGGGTCATTTTTCCCTGTTGCTCATACCAGCATACTCTGAATTTGAACCAGTGGACTTCAAGCCAACTGCTTTCTGAGCCTGTTGCTCACTGGTGAGTGGACCAAGAAGGAAAGTGGGCAGAACTCAGGCAGGGACAGGTGCTGGGGTGGGGATTCACAAGGAAATCCTGCTGCAATGGATTTTATGAAAGACTGACACAAAAACATCCACCCTCCCTGAGGGCAAATAGTTTTCTGTAGGCAGTGGCACATGATACAGCAGTACAGCTAACAACCCATCTGAGTAACTCTGGGACCTCAGCTCAAGCCACAGGATATACCTGCAGCTGGAGTCAGAAACAGCTTTCTCCAGAGACTCCGAGAAAACCAGTGAGCACTTTCCTGTGTGTCTGAAGTAAGGCCACACTTTGTACAGCTTTTCACCTTAAATATGTAAAGGTGTCCTGTCTCACTGCTTTTGCATTATTAATAAACCTTGATTTTTTCCTTTTGAAGAGTGCAGAGAAAAGCCATCAGGAAGGGAAGTAGAAAAGTGAGCTCTCTCCTGACATATTTGAATTTTTCAACAGTCTGAACATTTTTTTTAAAGAAAGCTAAATAGCAAAAATTAAGAGCACTGCTTACCCATTCCAGAATCGTGAATTTCAACTGAGTCAAGAACCATGAGCGATTCACTGCCATAATGAAGATGCAGAAGGCAGCAGAGCCTCCTATTTCATTGCAGTGAGGTTGAGCAGAGATAATTACTTTAACTGAACTAATACATTTTAACCCTTTTCAGACTGATCATTTGAGAGAAATAAAAGGGTATAAGAGACCAGACTGCCTGCCACACAGGACATGTCCTCCATCTCTCACCTTCCAGGAAAGAGATGAGCCTTTTTCTTATTCAGGTGGGGAATTACCTTCTTTCCCTCTTCTAAGAATTGTATTTATAAGGCAGCAGCATTTCCCATCAAAACACATCGGGGCTGCAAGCAAACTGGCTCTGAGCATGCCAGCTGCTTGCCAGGTTCAATTTGGGGCTGAACGTGGCTAATGGCAACACAAAACACTTTCGACATTGGAACAGATGCAACGTTTGGTCTCGTTCCAGGCGGTCGGGAGCGGCTGGAGGGGGATGGGGAGGAAATACAGCATGTGATGAGCATGGAGATGGTCTCACAGTGTCACACAACCTGGTCTTCTAGCAAGGAGACAAAAAAGCCAGGGTGAACCCTCTTTAGTCTAAGCAGCATCAGTTCAGGAGGTCATCCCAGCTGGAGATGGGCAGGTTATGGCTTTGTCCCCACAGTGGGTCAGAGGCACTTGTGGTGGGACAGGGCACAGACAGATGATCCATCTCCAGGCACTGGCACTTCGCCTTTTTTGTGGCTGCTCCATCTCACTAAGAGGTAGCTGAGCACAGGTGCAGCGCTGGTCAGTGACCACAGAAAACAGTTGACATTATTGCAGCTCTGCCGTGTATGTGGGGGTGACACACGCAGGATGCTGCCAACAGGAAGGACAGCATCACAACAGAGGAGGTTAAGGTGTGATGTGAAGTTTCAGGAATCTAAATCCTGTATTTTAGATGTGTGCTCTAATTTATCCTCCACTAAACTCTCCCTCTTGCTTCAGACTCCAGAGGACAAATTAGTTTCCTGTATAAGAGGTAGCCTTCATGATCAGCCCTAAACCCCTGAACCCATTTGTTTAGGCATTTGATACTTAATTTTCAGAGAACACAGCTCTGTTGAATAACTGGACATCACTATTCTTCTCCCTCTTTGACTGCAAACTTTATTATTACACCTTTCAATATTAGTTAGGGTGCTACACACTACACAGAGCAACACACACTGTGAAGACAGAATGTGATCTTCTTTCTTTCTGTGAAGAAAACTATGATTCATGCATGAAAAGGTTTCATGACTTGCCCCATCATTGATATTTTTGAAATTGGAAAAACATTTTCAGAAGCAGTTAAGAACAGCGTGACACACTGTGGTGTTGGATACCCTGATGCCTTCAGTAGATCTTTGGAGCTGATGCAACTATTGGTGATTCGTAGCTGTAGCTTCCTTACATAAATAGAGAGGGGGAAAAAATGCTGTGGTTTGTACAGGTGACCAGTCTTGCTCACAAAAAAGATGCTGTAAAGTACTGTTACCTAGACACTGCCACAGCAGCCACACACATTCATACACTCACGTGATAAAGCTGACACCAGATTCACTTCATAAAAAACTACCATGAGCTACAGAACTAATACCCACTGAAACCATTGTGTAAGTCTTGTCAAACGGGCCTCATTTCATTCTTTAAAAGGATTACAATCACTTGATAAAGGTGACGAGTGGGTGTAATAGACTTAGGGTTTCTAATGCAGTTAGCTGAGTTTTGCATGTCACTCTGATGAAGAAAGGTAGTGCTGCACAGTACCAGTAAGGCACATCTTAAAGGGATTGAGAACTGCCTGAGTAACAGATCTCAGGCAGGGCTGTCAATAGGAAACAGGGAGGAAGGGGGCAGTTCTGCCAGTCCAGGACTGAGTTTGATGGCTGCCCACACTTTTATCGATGATCTACAGGCAAATAAAACAGGAATGGCATTTAAGATTGTCAGGTGAGAGGCTTTTGCCAAGACTGAGTCCACTCAAAGTCAGTGTGTTTTAACAGAGTCAAAGGTAAAGACAAGCTGATGAAGGCAACGAGTGCCAGCCCTGCCTGCAGAGTGCTGAAACATGTCCTGCAGAGCACCAAGCCTGAGAATTGGAGTGGACCCACTATTCAAGAGCTTCCACTAGCAAGACATCCAAAAAAGGCACTAGTGAGATCTCTGGATATATTTAAAGGTGGAGGTAGAGATGTGTAGGACAAAACGTGTGTATTACAGGGAAGAAGATTGTTGCAGTACTGCATATAGTTGTGATTTGGCATTTTTGAGAAGTCAGTACAAAGCAAAAGGACTTTAAATGGTTTTTAAATTAGGGATAATGTCTTGCAGTGAGAGATCTAAAGTGCTTAGTCTATTTAGTTCATCACAAGAAGACTGAGAGTCAACTTGATTAATATATAAGCACCTCCAAGGGGAAGGAACACAGGATCCTGCTGCACTCTTTAATCAAGCAGAGAACTGCATAAGAAGAGCTACCTTCTGGAAGCTGAACCTAAACAAACTCAAATTGGAAATAACGCCCAGATTTTTAATAGGAAGAATGACTGATTGCTGGAACAATCTGTCATGGCATGTGATGGACCCTTTGTCTCTCAAGTGCTTCGTACCATAACTGGACACCATATGGAAGAAAAGCTCATGCCAAATACAAATTATCAGCCTCAGCATCAGCCTAGCTTGATGCATTTTAATGGCCTAGGAGGTCAAACTAGGAAATCTAATTAAACCCCCACCTCCTAAACTCTGTGAGTCAAGATCAGTGGTATCTTACCTCCCTCCTGGGACACACC